GCCTCCCAAAGTGCTGGGATTACAGGCGTGAGCCACCGCGCCCGGCCTCCAAAGTGCAATTTTTAACATTAATAAAATTCCTATATGCTATTGGCTATTCTTGTGCATTTGTCCTTCCCAATCAGCTTAAATATATAAAATACCATTTTTCTTTTTTTGAGACAGAGTCACTCTGTCACCCAGGCTGGAGTGCAGTGGCATGATCTTGGCTCACTGTAACCTCCACCTCCTGGGCTCAGGTGATTCTTCTGCCTCAGCCTCCCGAGTAGCTGAGACTACAGGCACATGCCACCATACCTAGCTAATTTTTGTATTTTTAGTAGAGATGGGATTTCACCAGGTTGGTCAGGCTGGTCTCAATCTGTTGAACATGTGATCCGCCTGCCTCGGCCTCCCAAAGTGCTGGGATTACAGGTGTGAACCACCTTACCCAGCCTGATTTTTGTACTTTTAGTAGACACAGGGCTTTGCCATATTGGCCAGGCTGGTCTGTAACTCCTGACCTCAGGTGATCCATCTTGGCCTCCCAAATTGCTGGGATTACAGGTGTGAGCCATTGCACCAAGCCAAGACCCTGTCTCTAAATAAATAAGTAGTACAAAATAAAAAATTACCTCAAATCCCACCAACCCCACTGTCCTATGATAATTAATTATTGTTAACAGTGGGGTGTGTGTCTTTCCAAGTTTTCTTTACTAAAAACATATAAACATACATATGTATTCTAGAAAAATTGAATCTCCATGTACATACTTTTCTGCACTTTGCAGATCTGTTTATGAACTCTGTTTTATTTCACTGGTCCCATTATATATCTTGTTGGTCTTACAATATTGTTTGGATTAATATAGCATTATAATGTCTTGATATCTGATGGAGCTAGTACCCGTCTTATCCATCATCTTCAACAGTTCCTTGGCTATTCTTGGCCCTTTATATTTCTGTACACATTTTAGAATCAGCATGTCACATTTCATATACATCCATGTAAGAAAAAAGAAAGCTGACTCCTACTGTGTATCAGACACAAAAATTAATTTCAGGTAGATTATAGATATAAATGTGAAAAGCAAAAATATTATCAAAGGATCTGGAGGACACTATGCTAACTGAAATAAGCCAGGCACAGAAGGACAAACACTACATGATCTCAATTATATGTGGAATATAGAATAGTTGAACCCATAGAAGTAGAGAGTTAGAATGATAGTTACCAGAGGCTGGTGGGATTAGGGAGTGGGGAGGGAAGTAATGGGGAGTTGTTGATCAAAGGATACAAAGTTTCAGATAGGAGGAATAATGTTGACCTCTATCGTAGATCATGTTAAGATCTATTGTTGATCTCAACATTATTGAATACAATAGATCTCAAGATGTCTTGATATCTGATGGAGCTGATACTCCCATCAGATATTCCAACAGGGTGACTACAGTCAATAACAATGTATTGTATATCTCAAAATCTCTTTCTTTTTTTTGAGACAGAGTCTCACTCTGTTACACAGGCTAGAATGCAGTGGCTCTATCTTGAATCACTGCAACTTCTACCTCCCAGGTTCAAAGGATTCTCGTGCCTCAGCTTCCTGAGGAGTTGGAATTACAATTGAATGCCACTGTGCCTGGCTAATTTTTCTATTGTTAGTAGAGATGGTGTTTCACCATGTTGGCTAGACTGGTTTTGAACTTCTGGCCTCAAGTGATCTACCTGCCTTAGCATCCCAAAGTGCTGGAATTACAGAAGTGAGCCACTGGGCTTGGTCTTGAAAATCTCTAAGAGAAGAAATTTGAAATGTTTCACCATCA